TGTCACTCCTGCAACTGCGCCTGCTGTGGCCGCAACAGCTGCGTGACTTACTACCTTCGTCCAAGTGACATCCTGTCCATCAACAAATTTTTTGCTTGCGTCGGAAATCAGAGATGACACAGCTCCACCTAAGGCGCCAATGGCTGCACTGCAAACCAGGAACTCGCCCACTTTGAGGGCTGTGGACTCCAGAAGTGCTACTCCAATTGCTGCGCCACCAGGCATTACTGCAAGTAAGTACCCAATCCCTGTCTTCATCAACCACCCTTTGACGTCGCACCCATCTGCAATGGCCTCCTTGCTAATCGACTGCTGTAACGAGTACAACCCACCCACGATACTGGTTACGAGCCATGGGGATGAAAAACCAGCGGTAAGGACAACTCCCACAATGCCTCCAGTTGTAAGCAAAACCGACAAAGCTAACAAGCCCATTCTTTTCAACCAGGCTAACCTTTGCTCCATGGTTTCGCACTCGGGCCAAAAGACAGCTTTGAAGCGCTTCACCGACAGCCATCCACTGTCATAGTCAGCCATGTTGTGGTACCTGGCTCGCTTTTCTCGATCTTGAAGAATGTCGTAGGCCATAATCACCTCCCTGACTATTCCTTCGTCACCATCATCGTTGAATTCAGGGTGCCATATTCGTAGTTCTCGTATGAATGCGGTTCTGATTTCTTCATCCTGTTCTTCCTTTGACATGACACGTACTTGTTTCATGTCTAGCCTCAGTATGTTATACAGATTACGTCCCCCGCCATGCGATTCTATTACTTCGTCCCTTTGCATCTTTCGAAGGCATTCTTTTTTCTCTTGTGGGTACTTGGCAAGGTTTTCCTCTACGATCTCGAGCGAACTCGGTGAGTAAGTGACCCTTATTAACCTGTCTTCAATCCACTCTTGAGGTTTCAGGAGAACCTTTTTCGGTCTCTTGTCTTTGAATCTTGCGACGAGTTCGAACTTGCAGTCTTTGTCGCTGGAGTAAAGGAACTTGGTATTCGGCTTGATTGTTATAGATGTGTGAGGTAGCCAACACACAACATCCCAGGTGACAAAAAGATTGAGGGTGACCTGGGCATCGACCGAGTCGTTGATGATTAGTAGAGATTTCGGTTTTTTTCCCATTTCTGACTGAGCCGAGTAAAGATTACAAGTGATCAGATCCTGTCAGAGAACAAATACCAGTTTTTAATTAGGTCAACTGCCGACAATTAGGAACGGCTCAGTGTCTGTAGGTAATGGGATAAAGAAGACAAGAATGAAAAACAACAATACTGAAAATTACAATGTGACAAAAACAAGGTCGCGAGGAACTTGACTCGGACTTTAGGCTGATTCTTCATTAGGTTGTTGGCACATACCTAACGACGGTAACGGCTTGTGGGAATTAGCGTAACTACAGGTTTTTGTTTGCTTGTTTTGGTAGCCTGTAACCACCTCAGTTTGCCTGAATAACGTTTCGGTTACCTTGAACTCTGGTTTTTATTTACCCTAAATTAATAGCGCTCTGGTTAGAGGATCAGCGCTCCGCTTACCCTCAATGCAGTAGCACTGATTCGACAGTGGTCAGCTCTCAATAACCGTGCTATATGCGTTACACGATATATATATACATGTATATTCAAATCAATTCGTTGTTACTCCGTTACCCATTACACCGATATACGTGTCACTACTGATGTATAACTCCTGACAAATTCCGAGACACATGATCTCTCTTGTATTTATTCTCAGTCATGATTGCTCAGCGAGTTCGCGTGGCCTATCGTTGTCGTAGACCAGAATGCATTTCGATGCATTTACCAGGTCAACGGCAAACGTGGCTGCCGGAGGTCTAAAATGAAAGATCTGCGCCAAGGGAGAAATGGGAAGAAGGATTATGGCAAGTCAGCAAAAAACCTTGAAACCATAGTTGCCAGCGCCTTGGCGCAAAAGTTTCTGGCAAAGACCAGAAGAACTCTCGAGTTGGAGCATGCGAGTTCGTGTCTTTCGAAGATTTCGATCAACTCTCCAGTGATCCTGGGGGTGGCAGGCCTACACAACTCCCGTATCTACGTGTAATAGTCGCTTTTAAAGGATCTGCCCTTTTTGTATGGTACGATAGGGGGATCTTTGAATATTTCGCTAATGGTTGATTTTGGATTAAATGCCAGTGTAAATGAGGATAACAGGACCTACATGGGCGGACTCCCATGCCTCCTAACATTTGTGTACTTGCCGTTATTTTCGGTCTCGCGGCCTTTTTTGCTTCACA